TTGGAAGATGTAGAAAGGAAATGAACAAACAATATAATGAAAAAGAAATTCAAAAAGGTAACAAGCATATGTTAAGATAGTCACAAGAACTGGTAATTAGAGGATCCAAAACCAAATGAAACATTTCTGTTGTAATTATTACCCCTGTCAGTTGGGTAATGGTGAGTGTTGGCAGGAATGGGGGGATATGGAGATCCTCATGCCCTGGTGGAAGTATAGTTTGTATTCATCTTGGAGATGGTATATTATTAATAAAGTATATTTGTTTTCCTTATGGCTCTAGAATAACGCTCTGGATTATATCTCCTAATGAAATTCTGTGTACATATTGCCTGAAGTATTGTTTCTGGTACTAGGGAAGTGAGGCAAGCTGGCTGTCCATCATTGGAGAGGGGATAGTTATAATGGAGTAATATGCCGCAGTTAGAAGCAAGGCTTAGGTACTCACATAACAGTATGGATGGATCCTAAAACATAGGGCTAAAAGAAACCAGTACAAAGCGGAATTTTAATGTAAATATGCAGCAACTAGGTAAATATTGAATGCAAATGTGTGTACATACATGCTCATAAAACAATATGCATGTTGCAAGAATGCATCAAAATAAAAGGTAAACTTTAAGTACTATAAATGGATTAATAAACAGGTCTCTAACTTGGTTGCTTTCTCCCTGCCTGAATTACTTCTGACCTTAGCCAGACCCCTTCATTATCCAGTTAATGGAATTTACTAATTGGAAGGTAATTGAAGATCTTGCAGAGGGTACTATATACTGATTTCTTTATAGGAAATCTATATAAAGGATTTTTTTATATAGGAATCTTTCTGGTAGGATGAACTTCGTATGTCCTGATTGTTTATTATAAATTAGTCTTCAGTTCATGGCTTTATGAACCATAGCTGGATTGAATAATGGAAGTTAATTGTATAGAGTTTCTTGCTACATGACTAGAGAGTATAAAGTTTGAGAGACCCACAAAACTAAGAGGCTTCCTGGTGCTATTTTGTATTGGCCATAGTGTGCTTGTCACTTTGAATCCAAAGTGCATCCCAATGTTAAAAAGGAATTTAGAAAGATGTCTTCTGATGTGATATGGCTCCTTTCTTATCAACTTTAATAATTATTAGTAAAGCTTGGTGCTGGGTATAACTTGGATTCTGTAAATATGATTGATGTTTTAGTACACTATGTTAGTATAAACACATTATAACAGTTGCCAGTGGAGTACGAGGAAAGAACTAAGAAGAAGACAAAAATAAATAGGTAAATATTAGTAAATAATATAAAGAAGATAAAGCCTTACTAGGACAAATAATGATAATACATTATGAACTGAGGATGTGATTTAGTTAACTCTCATCAATGAAGATCTGAGAGAAAAATATAAACAAGCAAGAACTGTTTAGTTTGTATGCTTTTAAATACAGGTATACCATATATGCTATATGTATTTGTACATATAAATATGTATCATCTTTTTATAGCATTTCTTGGGAGTTTATATAGATCCATTCTCATTGTTAAACTATGTGAAAATAGAAGGTTTATATATTTGTAATATTTGGATTGTTGTACTTAAGCCCTACCTTATCCTTTCCCCACCAAATGTTCTGAATCCTCAGGACCTGGGGAAATGACTCACTTTTCCTCATTGGAATAGAAAGGCCTTCCTCTTCCTTGAAGACTATGCAGAGACTTCAAATGAAGCAAATGCCTTAAAAACAATGCTTTCGCTCCTTCATATCTGTTCCTGTCTCCCCTCCTGGTCACCAGACTCCTATCTAACATAAAGTCTCAGTAAACTCTACTGGGAAAATGCAGATCCGAGGAAAGGGGAGAGACTGTACACAAAGCAGCAGTAGGACTGCCTAACACATGCCAGCAGGAACCATGGAAGTTTGTCTAGGTGTAGATCCTGATCTTGGGGACTTTGTCTAGGAGTGGACCAAGCAGTTGTAGGTATAACTTTGGATAAGGGCAAGTTTGGTAATGGCCCTAGGAAATAATCCCAAGATGCTACTGGGGTGAATCTTGGAAGCTTGGAAAAAGTGATAAAGTATTAATCACTGATGTGAGGAAGTGAGTGTTAAATGAACTAGAGATATAAGAAATGTCACCGCAGACTGTGGAGGAAGGGATCAAAACGCTCAAAGAAAGGGCCTGCTAGAATGGATATATTGAAAGATTGGAAAATCTTCCAGCTGACTCTGTTCCTTGGAAGAGATGACAGGTACTCTTTCTTACCAGTTCAACGAGGTTTGCAGCAGTGCAGGAAGCACCAGCGTCTCCAAGAAGCTCAGTAACAACTCTCCTTTGTAGTGCAGGGCTGATTGTAGGAGATACTGCAAAACTGAGCTCCACAATGACAGTAGAGAGAATAGAATCCCAGAACAGCAGAGGCCAAATGACAGCACTTAACTGTCAGAAGCAAAGTGGGAATAATAACTGTAATTGGTAGTAAATTAGGAATAGGGGTCAGCAAGACCTGACCCAGGAAGGCAGGGCCACTTCATGGATGTGTGAGTGGTGCTTAGATGGGATGCTAAGTTTGTTTAATGCTATGCTGTCACCATCTTGAATTTCATTATAATTCTTTAATTCCTTGCCACAGAACTCCACATTTTCCTTTTTCCCTGGGTCCCCTAAATTATGAGGTCACAAGGATTTTACAGTAATCTATGGAAATGGTCCACAGAACATGGACTATCCCTAGGGGCAAAATATATGGGTAGCCAAAAAGGGATATTGCTTAAAATATGTAATTAGAAGAGATCAAGGAAGGATGGGCAGAAGATTTTAATGGAAAGTCATGATCTCTTAACCAGATTTTAGACCTTAGTTATTTATCAGCCCTAGAACTCATCAATGGTTGGAGAGGCCCAATTCTCATCATGAAAGGCCTTTTAACACCATAGCAAATGTATACAGTAGTGATTCTCTTAGTCCTTTTCTCAAAGGAATTTATCATCATTTACTTGGATAACTAAACACTGGGGTAAAGGGAATATTCAGATCTTTTAAGAGTTATATGCAGAAACTATTGAATATAGGGCCTGAGTTTATGCTGAAACCTAGAAATCCAAAATGCCATCATGGCCTCCTTTAGAGTAGAGATGATAGGACGTGGAGGTGTTAGTGTATATATGAGCAAATAGCTTAGTTGTTAGGCTAAAGGTACGCAAAAGGACGATTAGATGGTCAGGGACAAGGACGTCTTGGGAAGAGGCATGCAGATGGACCTAAGGGAGTGAGTACAAAGTGTGAGGATCTTTGTGTTGTATGTCAATGCTCACTAGAGAGCATTTACTGGAGCAGAACCACTACACCACCAAACAGCCTTTGTCCTTGACTCCCCCAGTGCTTGTGCAATGGGTTCAAGAATGGAATAGCTACATCCTCAGACGAGCCTATGCATGGACACAACTACTCAGACTTTTTCTCCCCAAGTTTTATATACTACTTCTGAGGCAGAATGTTCAGACTACAAGCAACAGAAACCAAGAACCCCTAGTATGATCATTCTAGGAAACTAATTAGCCACATCAAGACAAGTTGATTGCGTTAGGCCCCTTCCACCGTAATGTTTCATTAATCAACCACATGTGAGAAAGAATAGACCTTCAGAAAATGAATTCATTGCCCTTTCCCATGCTTGCTTCCTTCCAGCTAAGCTAACTTTGGGAAACAACAGCCAAGCCGCAATACTGACAAGGAGAGATGGTGTGACTCTGTCACTTGGTGATAATTCATCATTATTGGGATGGACATGTATTCTGGATACTCTTTTATATTTCCTTCCCACAGTGCCTCAAGCAGCACTTATATCTTAGGACTCATAAGGTGTATGATCCACCAACATGGGATCCTCCATAACATTGCCTTGGACCAAGAGACCTAATTTAGGGCAAAGGAGGTATGGTGGTGGGCACAGGACAATGGGACTCACTTGTCCTTCTCCACATTGCACCATCTAGAACCTCCCTGCCCAAAAGAGTTTTGGAAGGGCCTCTTGGAACACCCTGTTGGACACCAGCTTAGAGCTCATAATCTGGGTGAATGGGGTGATTTCAGAATGTGGTATACGCCTTAAACCAACATTCACTGAATGACACTCTGTCCAAAATAGGCAGAATGTATGGTCTGAGGATCAGGAGGGGAAATAGGAGTGGCCCTACTCACCCTTACTCCTAGTCACCCATATCTGGCAATTTGTGTTCTGGTTCTATACATTCAGAAGTTCTGGTTCATACTCTGGTCAGCATAGGGCAGTAGGGCTGCTCCTTCATAATTGGGGTACAGAGGAGTATATGTGGCAATCAGAGGATCCACTGGGCAACTGCTGGAACCTCCATTCCCAGTTTTTACAGTACATAGGCAAGCAGAACAACCACCGAGTAAACAATGGTTCAAATTCCTCAGTGATGAGGGGGCTGGGTCACTCCACAAAACAAAGTACCTTAACCAGTATTAATGGGAAATCTAGAATGGCTGATGCCTATCAGTTAATGGACTTGGGACCAACTAAGCAGTGGCAGTTGTAGTTTGCCCCACTACCTTCCTTTTGTAAGTTTTTCCAGGGATTGTGACCAGTTAGAATCTCAGAAAAGCTGCACCTGAATTGAATGAAGTTAATAAGGGAAGTAAATGAATCTGACTGATGCAAGTGTTGGACTCTAGTGGATGCTATTAGACTTCGGCTTAGGTCTCCTTTACCAGTCCAGTGTACTCATCCCTAAATGCTATGAATTTTGTCTGCTAATAGTCTAAGCCAGTCATTCTCTTCAGCAGAACAGAAGCCATCAGAGTTTCCATGCTCTTTCACCAGGAGTATTCCTTAGCCAGTGACCGATTAATATAGGTGTATAAAAGGCCAGCTGTATAATATGTATGCTCTATATCTCCCTGTGGGTTTAGCCTGTAAATTGGACTCTGGGTGAGGCTATACTCTTGCTTAGCTCCTTCACTTCCTCTCCTGCTTCTTTTGTTCCCTTTGTCTAGAAAGCACTCTCTCGGTATATTACGGGCACCCACACACCTGTCTGAGACTCTTCTACGGAATCAGACCTAAGTCTGCTTGAGGTAGGTAGATATTTATTGTTTTACTTAACAGGAAGTCCTGAGGTAGGGGAGTTCTGAGTTTGGTTAGTTCAGTGTCTCACTGACATCACAAAGGACTAAAGCTCTGTCTACCTTTTTGCTTTTCTATCCTTAAGATTTTAGCGTTTATTCATTTTAGGGCCTTTCATTGTTGCAAGATGGCCATGGCAGCTGAAAGCATCGCATCTTTGCAAAACAAAGTTCAAAGGCTGAAGAGCTGTTGTTCCCTTCTCCTGACTCTGTATGAGTGAGAAGTGCCTTAACTCATTTTTTTTACCTCAGATCTGAAAGGCTAGAGTTGCTGTTTACTTGCCCATTCTTAAACGAATCAGGTTATCTAGCAAGAAGGGCAGTAAATTTACCGTTATTGGCTTAGTCTAAAAAATAATCACCCCTTGGGTGAGAAGAGTTCTAATTTTCCTCTGAAACTTATGAAAGTAATAGGTAGGAATAGGAAGAGAGAGACTGATACTTGGCCACAATCAAGAAGTGTCTGCCCTAAACTGTAATTTAGGAACTATATCTATTCTTATATAAATACTGCAAAAACACTGTTAGGCATATATTTCTCAGTTGTTTGGGGGGATAGGAAAAGTGAGACTCCTAAGATAATGCCAAAGCACCAGTCTCTTAAGAGTTAAATAATCTTTTTTTTTTAACGTTTTTTTTTTTTTTTTTTTTTTTTTTTTTTTTTTTTTTTTTTTTTTGAGACAGAGAGAGACAGAGCATGAACGGGGGAGGGGCAGAGAGAGAGGGAGACACAGAATCTGAAACAGGCTCCAGGCTCTGAGCCATCAGCCCAGAGCCCGACGCGGGGCTGGAACTCACGGACCGCGAGATCGTGACCTGAGCTGAAGTCGGCCGCTTAACCGACTGAGCCACCCAGGCGCCCCAAGAGTTAAATAATCTTAAAGGATTTGTCATTGTATATTTTTTCTGACTCACTGGTATGTAATAATAGCTCCATGTTTTTTTTTAGAGGAAACTTTTAATAGTAAAGTGTCAAACTAGATTTCTCAAATAAGCTTTCTTTAACTTCAAAAAAAGTACTCTTCAAATTCACTGAAGGTACATCCTACTGAGTCATTTCTTGGTGGGGGCTGGGAATGTAACAAACATTGTTAAGTAGCTATTGTATGCTAGAGGGTTCTTGGGTGGTCTTTTGTGACTGTTTTGGCCAATAAAATACAAGGAAGCGACACAAGGAACATGACTTCTGAGGTCAGTCGTAAAAGGCAATGCAACCTGTACCTCATTTACTAGTACCTTGCTCTTAGAGCCTTCAGTCATTTTGTAAACAGTTTGCTCTGAGACCATGAAGCTGTGAGAAAGCCCAAACTATCCCACGCACAGAGGCTGCATGGAAAAACTCTGAGACAAGAGGAAGGGACAGACATGTCCGGACGGTCCCCAGATGTTCCATGCTCTTGCTGTTTCAGCTCCAGCCATCATCTGACTGCTTTCACCCAGGAGATATGAAACCGGAACTGCCCGGCCAAGCCTTTCTCAAATTTCTGACCCAGATAAACCTCAAGATGTTAGAGAATGATTCTTGTTTTAGCCACTGTTTTGCAGTGAGTTGTTATGGAGCAATAGATAACAGGAACAGAATTTGGTATTTGGAGATTGGCTGCTGCCATGAAAAGAAAACAGTGAAACATGTGGACTGGATGGTGTGTGGACTTGAGGAGACTGTTAATAAAATCTTGAGAGTCCGTGAGAGCAGTTCCTAAAAAGGACCTCAAGTAGCCTAGTGGTAAAGGATTAGAGAAGAATGAGAAATGTTTTGAAACCTGGAAGAAGAGAGACTGTTGTTATGTAATAGAAGTTTTATCAACATTGTTTCATGCGGTGATTTTGATGAGGTTTTGGAGGGTTGGGTTCAGAGCTGATGGCCAGGAAAGAATTCTTGAAGACGTCTTTGGTGCAAAAAGGTGATTTTATTAAAGCACGGGGACAGGACCCATGGGCAGAAAGAGCTGCACTGGGGTTATGAAGAGTGACTGGTTATATACTATGGAGCTGAGGGATAAAGGCAAAAGAGAGGCCTCCTGGAGGACTTTGATATGCTAAAAAGGACTCCTAGGATACCTGAGGCCTTGCTATGGTTAAGCCAAGGTTGTTTTTCTTTTAGTAAGGCATCGACATTAGGGCAGTAGGGGGTTCCCGGAGAAATGTCATACTCTGTATTTACCTCAAGTATCTGCCAATGGGCTGCAGGTTATAAGGACATTTAATTTTACCTGCCATTTCCTTCTTGCCTTTGTTCCTCACATCACTATGCAGGGGAGGTGTTGTTGGGGCTCCAGGAAACTGAGTCTATAGGTTTCTGGAGATTAGACTATTGATAAGATTGCCTTTTTCTTGTAATTTACTAAGATATTTGTAAACTACAAATAGTTTAGAGACTATTGTAGTCTCTATTGTAGAGACTACAAATAGATAGAGACTCATGTCTTGCAGGACCCTGATCTCTATCAGTTAACCATTTGTTTTCCTTCCTTTCCTTTGTCCTTGGGCAGCAAGAAGTGGCTGAGGAATATTACACACGTCCCACCTGGGGGCGGGAGGGGTGTGTGTGCAGTGTGTTAGCTTGTACTTTGCCCTCAGCTTGCCTCATGGTCCCTCATCAATGCAGATAATACAAAATGTATCTAATGTACCCAGTTATCTAGCTAAGAATATTTCCACGTAGAACATTGAAAGTGCTACCTTGCTTCATCTTACTGCCTATCATACAAATAGTGAGGGATGAGTGAAAAAAGAAACAGTTCATCTTTAGGCATAATTTAGAGGAAACATAAGCAATTAAGGGTTTGGTGGATTTGAAACAGACTTTTCATTCCTGGCCTCTCCACATGCAGAAGATTCTCAAAGTAAGAAAGTTCATCAGGCCAGACATAAAATCTAGAGAACTGTCAGGAAATCTAAAGATAAAACAAATTGTGTGCTTTTAAGAATCCTTTCTTGAGGTAAAGAAGATGTGTTTCCTATTTTCAAAAAATTTGGATTCTGTTGTAGATTCTGAAACGGCAAGTAAAGAAATACATAAAATTTAGTGTGATAACAGCCCTGATAAAAGTAAGCATGGGGTGCTATGACAGCCTGTAATAGGGATGCTTCAGACAAACAGGAAGTAGGGTGACATTAGGATAAGGCTTTCCAAGAAAGGGCATATCTAAACTAAGCAGTGAAGAATAAATAGGAGTTAGGGAAGGTGGGTGTGGGAAAGAGATGTTTTCAAGTGGAGAGAGTTGGGTGATATTATAGGAAACCCTCAGAAAATCTCCTAAAGGAGGCCTGAAACCCTTGACATATCTTGTAGTAGTTTTCCCCTTTTATAGGAATAAATGTGATCAACCAGCTCTAAAGAGTCTCTCTTTTTAAAAAAGGTTTTCGTTATGGAATTTAAAAAATATGTGCAAAGGAAGAGAGAATTGTATAATGAACCCTCCTGTGCTAATTACTCAGTTTAAAAATAATCAAACTCATGGCCAATCTGGTTTCATTTGTGATTACCCCCTCCTGCATTGCATTATTTTAAAGCAAGTCCCAGGCGTACATAATTTCATCTATAAACGCTTTAAAGCATAAAGACTCTTTTTGATTAATAGTCACAACACCTTGATCACACACACAAATCAACACTAATTCCATAATATTGATGCTTCCTTTTGAACAAACGAGGCCAGTGTTGCTGGGTTCTTCTGGGAAGTAGATCACTTAAATCACTCTAATGCAGAAAGATAATTATTCAGTACCTGAGGTCTGTGGTTAAAAATTTCTTTTTTGGGGGGGGGGTGGTGGTGCCTGGAGGGTTCATTTGGTTAAGGCTCTGACTCTTGATTTCGGCTCAGGTCATGATCTCATGGTTGGTGGGACTGAGCCCTGCGTCAGGCTCTGTGCTGACAGCGTGGAGCCTACTTGGAATTCTCTCTCTTCCTCTCTGTCTGTCCCTCCCCTGCTCATGTGTGCTCTCTGTCAAAGTAAATAAATAAACATTTTAAAAATTCATATTTTTTTGGAGGAGACAAGGATATGAGAAATTATGCTAGCTTCCTCTTTATAGGTATTTAGGGGTAGTAAGTGCAGAAAAACATCTGTCCTCAATGATCCAAAAAGTTATGAAAATATAAGAAATGGTTGCTGTAGGCACTTAATTTTGTTTCTATGTATGTTTTCTTTAGGACAGTTATCCAGTTATACCTAAGGAGGTCTAGCTGCTGATTTCAGGCAGTCCTTCTGTGGTCTATCCTTAGTGCTAATTGATTTCATCTTAGACTGGCTTAGGTTCTGAGCTGGTGTGGGTGGATGAAGCTCTCTTACCTTTACACAGAGGGACAAAATTCAGTGCAATAACAGAAATAAGGAGAAAGGATAAACAGAACTAGACCCAGTACCATTGTACCTTGGGACTTGTGTTTGAGTGTGAATTTATAATCATATGCCATCTGGCCTTACAGTAGGAACTGCAGGGGTGGACACTCCAATTGGCTGATCTCAGCATACATGTGCAAAGACTTAAGAGACTTGAGATCATGACATGCTCTGAGATCTGCGAGGATTATTTCCCAGTACAGGGTTGATAAGGCAGGTACTGGGGAAGTTAGTGAGCACCAAATTGTAAGTAAAGAAATGAGGAATTATTGGAGCATTTTAAGTGATAGATTTCTGCGATCAGATTTGTGTCAGAGTGGGACATATAGGCGGGCACAGAAGCCAGTAGGATAACATTTTATCAAAATAAGCAAGAGATGATCAGTGCATGACTGAAATAGTACCATTGAGAACTATGAGTGTGGACAGTGTGGAAAGATGTTTACAGACAAGTCCACAGTACTGGGAGGCCAGTGTGATGGGAAGTTGAGAGGAAAGATTTAGGGATGGCTCCCACATTTGTAGCCTGTCTTAGAGGATTATGGTGTGGAGATTTCCAATCCA